GGACAGTCTTTCCAGCCGTCTCCAGGCTATATCTTCATTGCTGCCCAAGTCTTTGACGTTCTTTTTTCAAGGAAAACAATTATAGTTATCACGTTTCTTAATTGTGGATAGAAACCATTGAAGGACTTCGTCCGTAGTTACGTCGTGTTGCTTTTTCCAGGACGCCAATTAAAGGTTTCAATTTCCCAAAACGTCTGCAACTGTTGAGAAAGCTGGTCGCTTTGATGTCAAGTCATTACCTTCATAACAGTTGCTTGGTGCCAGCCCATGCACTTCCGGTAATTGCCGTACCTGCCCTTGCAGTGTCCAACCAAACATTGTTTCTACCGCTGTCAAATCTCCGTCAAGTCGCTTGATGAACCCAGTGACAGCCTTCCAGTAATTATCCGCTCCGATCAGTGTCCGAGGTTTGCGTTGTGATCCTTCGGCACGAGGTGCCGCTACTGATCGATCCAAATCCATGTAAACGTACAGTGGTTGAAGAGGATCCGATTCGCTAACTGGATCCGATGCGCTGCTGTCGCATCCATGGCTACGTTTACATGGATGCGAGAGCAGCACATCGGATCCAGTAAGCGAATCATATCCACTTCAACCACTACGTTTACATGGATTCGGATAGACCAGTAGCGGCACCTCGTGTCGAAGGATCACAACGCAAACCTCGTGACCTTCAGATTGTTTCCGAGGTGTCCGGTTTGCTTAGCTGCATGCAAAGCAAAGCTCCCGTAATCCCTTGCTTGAGCCCTCGATCCCATCCGCTAGCGCATACATGGAGAGTCTCGATTCGGATTGACCATCTCAAACCACCCGTTCCAGTGGATCGGATCGGATCTGATCCGATCCGATTTGATCCAATTTGTTTACGTGGACGGATTCGATTTGTCAACTGGATCCGATGCGTTGCAGTCGCATCCATATAAACGTAGCCCATGTAGACGTAGCCAATGTGTGTTCCAAGCCTTCCGGGTACTTATCCGTCACGGTGGCGGGAGGGGGGGATTAAACGACGCCGGCTGTCTTCTGAGAAGCAATTCAGGGATCGTCCAGCAGCCAATTTGAAGACCTTAGAACGGTTCCCCACCCCTTCGTGGGATTCGGAAATGGGGGATAATCGTCGTCTTGAGCTCCGCTGGTCCGATTGTCGTCGGTCGCTTCAGGAGAAGCACCGCCCACGGAATCCTCCTTTCCCTCGGGTGTCCACAAAAACCCCGGCCGTTCGTGGGACGGTCGTCTTCGATCAGATATTTTGCTATGAAATAAATCTGTTAAGTTTTCCATTCTGTTTCCCCGACTGGCTGGTTCGGACGTTGTTCGAGAAAAAGGTTGGACGCCAGCGAGATGGCCATGCCACCCGAGAGACAAGGCTGGGGGGTCGAGACCTAACAGATGGATGGCAGCGCTGGAATGCTAAACAACGCGGATCAAGACCCGCTCCGGACTCCACGAACCGATGACCACAAATGTGGGTGAGTGTTCGGCCTTTGTCCCTAGAGACACACCAGGCTTTCGCTACAATTAATTGTTTTGTTAGACAAAGCGGGTGGTTGAAACTATTCTGAGGCGTGGGTATTAAAGAAGCCATCAGGATAGTAACAGAGCAAACATTCAGAGAAATCATGAACCTCAGTTCTTTAGGAAAGGCAGATCTGATTCTAATTTGTGAGGAACTGGGTGTGGAGGGGGTGAGAAACAAAACGAAGGCGCTCATCATTGAGGCCATTAGAGCCACGGACGCAGATCCGGCGGAACTTGCGGAGAGTTCGGTCTTAGCTAAGGACAGACAAAGAGAGAATCTCGAAGAGAGGGAACGAAGCGACCGCATTCGTCGCGAGGAGCTGGAGAAGACACAGCAAGAGATCGAGCTGAAAAAACTAGATCTCGAGTTGAAGGAATGTCAAACGGAGGGCGGGAACGGAGCGGGCTCGGCCGGCTGAGACAGGATATTCTTCAAAATGAAAAACCTTATGCAACCATATAAGGCAGGAGAGGATATTGGCCTGTTTCTGGTGAATTTCGAGCGCACTTGTGAAAAGGTATAGAGTTCGCTGGCCAGACCTGGGCGCAGAGACTGCTAACCCTGTTGCCGTGTGAAGAAGCCGACGTCGTAGCGCGGCTCTCAAAGAAGGACGATGAGAGATACGACGTGATGAAGTCGAATCTCCTTAAGAGATACCGTCTTTTCATGGAGGCGTTCCAGTTGCGCTTCCGACAGGCCAAGAAGGGGAAGGAGGAATCGTACCTTGAGTTTGTTTATGACCTAACGGCCAATCTCATTGAATGGCTAAAGAGTGCTGAAGTGTTCGAGAATCTCGAGAGTGTAGTAGGGTGCTTCTGCTTGGAGCAGTTTTATCTCTATCCGGGAGCAGACGCGCCTCCGGATCCTCGATCAGAGGGAAGTAAAAACAACCCAGAGGGCAGCAGAGCTGGCAGAGGAGTACGCGGTACGCAGAAACCTTCACGAGGAGGACCACTATGGTTCGTGTTGCCGGGACACAGTGCCAAAAGGATATCCGTGAAAAGGGAAATTCGGAGAAGAAAATCTCACAAAGAAGGCTGCGCCCGAAACCCAGGGTAAGGAAAGGAGGGGTCGGCAGGCAACAAGGAAGAGTTTGGGCACAAAGCCTGAACGAAAGAGGGCGTTCCAAGCCAAGAAGCCAATGGTGTGCTTCAAGTGTCAGAAACCGGGGCATATCGCAGCCGGCTGTTGGGCTCCCAAAGTCGTGTTTTCCTACATAAGCGACAACGAGGAAAACGCGAGGTTGCTGGAGCCGTACTTGAGCGACCTGACGGTGAACGGGAAGGCGTGCAGGGTGCTCCGAGACTCGGCTGCCACAATGGACGTGATCCACCCAACCTACGTGGATCCTAACGGGTATACGGGGGGCTGTGCGTGGATCAGGCAGGTGGTCGAGGAGCACAGTGTGTGCCTCCCGGTCGCCCGAGTTTGCATAGAGGGCCCGTTTGGTACGCTCCACACCAAGGCCGCGGTGTCCGGCAGCCTGCCGCTTCAGTACCCCTACCTCTTCTCAAACAAATCTGATAAGATGCTCCGAGACAAGAGTCTTAGCTTTCCGGTGGGTTTTGTTCAAGCTCTAACTCGCTCTAAGGCAACAGACCTCGCTACAAAATTGCAGTACGAGTCGGAGTGTTCGGATTCGGCCAGAACGGTGTGGAAAAAAGTTGCCGACGAAAAAACTACGGATCAGGCGGGCTAGTACTCAGGCACCTGTAAGGGAGACTGATCACGAGATCGCGGAGGCTGAGCCAAGCGCGTCGGAAGATTATCAGCATCACGGAGGGGAGCTGGAGCCAGAGGGAATCACCCTGACACCTGCGTCAGCTAGTTTTCAGAGACTCTTGAGCGTCAAGCGATCAACTTTGATCTCAGAGCAGGACGAGAATCATTCGCTCCAAAACTTGAAAGAGTGTTGCCAAGAGGGCCTAGCTCGGAAGAACGTTACGTTCCACAAGCGGTCGGTTGTCCTCTACCGAAAGCATCCAGACCGAAAAGGGGTGGAATTTGATCAACTTGTCGTGCCAAGCAGGTACGGACGAGACCTTCTCCACCTGTCCCACGGCATCTCGTGGTCTGGCCATTTGGGTACCAAAAATACGAAGGCACGCTTGCTGCGGGAATATTACTGACGTGGTTGTTTTAAAGAGGTGGAGGAGTTCGTCAAAACCTGTGACGCATGCCAACGTGTGGGGAAGCCCCACGATAAGTGGAAAGCACCCATGAAGCTGGTTCCAATCATCACAGAGCCCTTTAGGCGGCTTGTGATTGATACCGTGGTGCCACTTCCGGTGACTGAGTCGGGATACCGATATATCCTCAAAATCCTGTGTCCAGCAAACAAGTTTCTAGAGGCTGTCCCGCTTCGGGATCTCAGCTGTGCTGCAATTTTTGACGCGTTGTTGTCTGTATTCAATCGCGTGAGTTTTCCTTCTGAGATGCAGAGCGACCTGGAAAGTTTATTCACAAGCGCGCTAACCATTACCTTCTTTGAAAAGTGTGGGATTCCCATTAGTCACAGCTCGGTGTGCCATCCTCAAAGCAACAGTGTGGAAAAATGGCTCTCGGTGCTCAAGCGTGTCTTGAGAGCCCTGTGCTTCGAGCAAAAACGGGACTGGGAGTCGTGCTTGCCTGCAACAATGTTCGCGCTCCGAACAACGCCTCACGAGGTAACCGGATTTAGCCCGGCAGAGCTAGTGTATGGCCGCACGTTGAGATCGCCGCTACAGATGGTTCGGGAAACCTGGGAGGACCGGGGGGAGGACCGAACGGTCGTAGAGTATGTTCTGCAGCTACTCGAACGCCTGCAAGGCGCAAGGCGGGTAGTAGGCGACAACTTAAAGGCAGCTCAGGCGAAATCAAAAGCCTACTATGACAAAACCACTAAAATTCGCAGTTACGAGTTTAAGGATCAGGTCATGCTATTGAGACCGTCGAAAAATAATCGTTTACACGTTCAATGAGAGGGATCCGCTGAGGTCACGAAAAAACTCTTCGAGACTAACTATGTGATGAAACTGCCTGGAAAGCGTAAGGAACTAAGAATTTACCACACCAACCTAATGGAACCTTACCGGCAACGCGAGGGAGTGGTAAACATGACACTAAAAGCACCTGAGGAAATGGACCTAGAGATGCCAATAATGGAAGAAGGAGGCGGGAAAATCGCGGCTGAGGATATGTTGCGCGAAGCAGTAACAAAGAGGGACCTGCAACCCGATCAGGTTAATCAGCTGGCCTACTACGTGTAGTGTCTACTGTAGTGAAATCTAGCCATAAATCTGGCTTGGTCTGGCAACTGTGACACTCTCCAAGATGGCTACCAACTAACGAATAAACGCCAGTACGTTGTTGTTTTAATCCAAAGGAATCCTTCCCTTTCTCTACATCTCCAACATTACAATGGCGACGATGATGCGTTAGAACAACGCAAGAACCGCCCAGCAGCAATTTTGAACCGCACGGACCCCTCCACACCCAACAGCGGACGTCTTGTTTGACGGGATGGAGCACAGCATGCTCCCCACGTTTTCCTTCTTCAACGCGCGTGCCACTGACGCCAATAACGTCGGCACCGAGTGGTCGAAGTGGGTGAGACGCTTCGAGAACTTCGTAGTGGCCTGCCGCATCACAAGCGACGCCCGTAAGACCGCTTTGCTGCTACACTACATCGGGGAGGAAGTCCATGACATCTACTGCGCGCTTCCCGAACCTCCTGTGACCGCACCTGCGGCAACAGCGTCAGCTGTCTCAAGCACCGCTGGCGAAAGCCCGCTCTACACCGCAGCACGCAAGAAGCTGGACGCCTACTTCGCTCCAAGGGTCAACACAACCTTCGAGGTCTACCGTTTCCGACAAGCCAAGCAAGTAGAAGGAGAGTCCCTTGACTCATTTTACGCCAAACTACGACAGCTAGCGCGACACTGCGGATTCGCCGATCCGGACACGGAAATCAAAAATCAGATCCTGCTGTCTACAACATCGTCACGCCTTCGCCGCTATGCCATGCAGCATGACCTCGATTTGGAGGGAATCCTCAAACAGGGCAAGCTATTTGAGGAAGTGGAGCACAACGTTACCTTGATGGAACAAGGAAGCCAGCAGCAGCCCAACGAGAACACAGTGGTAGCGATAGCAGCGAATGCCAAGCTGTCTTCGCACCACTACCCGTCCAAGCGCCACCAGAAAATCTCATCACAGCCTCGTGAGAATTCACGTCGTCAACACCCGGACGCATCATGCTACAACTGTGGAGGATCATGGCCGCACGACGGTGGTCGATCCAGCTGCCCAGCCAGAGGCAAGTCCTGCAGGTCATGCCAGAAGGTTGGCCACTTCTCCAAAGTATGTCGGTCGGCTCCAGTCACCGTCCGTGCTATACGCAAAAACGCTGGCTCGGACAGCGACGAGTACACTTTCGCAACTGACACTTCACGCGACATCTCGAGGTCACCGCGAGTGATCGTGGAAGTGAACGGTACGCTAGTAGAATTTACCCTCGATACAGGAGCTACTGTGTCAACCGTGGGATCAAGTGACCTGACGAAACTCGGGCTCCGTCACAGCTTGGAGCAAAGAGGTGTAAAACTTTTCGCATACGGTGCAACGTCCCCAATGCCAGTGCTTGGCAAACTGTCCGTGACCATGAAATACAAAGCTCAGAAAGGCACAGACGAAATCTTCGTTATACACGGTGACCATCCAGCCCTTCTGAGTTTTTCTGCAGCCTCACGTCTGGGTTTAGTCAAGATCACCTACAACGTCGAAGACACCCTGACGGAAAACAATATTCAGCAACAGTACGCCCAGCTATTCACGGGAGTTGGATGCCTTCGAGACCAACAGGTACGCCTGCATGTGGATGACAGTGTGCCACCAGTCGCACAACCACACCGTCGCATCTCTTTTGCCATGAGGAAACCACAAGAGGCAGAGCTGAGTAGACTGCTAGCACTCGACATCATTGAGAAGACTGAAGGGCCAACACCGTGGGTGTCTCCGCTTGTTCTAGTGCCCAAGCCTTCTTGATCAGGAAGCTTTGAAGATGTGCGTAGACATGCGATGCGCCAACAAGGCGATCTGCCGCGAGCGGCACGTCACGCCAACAGTTGACGACCTCCTCACAGCACTCAATGGAGCAACGATGTTCTCCAAACTCGACCTCAAGGAAGGGTACCACCAGCTTGAGTTGCACGAGGACTCCCGGCCAATAACAACTTTCTCGACACACGCCGGACTCTTCAGGTACAAACGTCTGAACGTTGGTATCAACTCAGCAGCAGAAGTATTTCAAGACACCATACGACAAGTCCTCGGCGGCATTCCCAACATGCTTAACGTCAGTGATGATATCCTGGTTTATGGCACGACCAGGGAAGACCACGACAAAGCCCTTGAGGCAGCGTTGGAACGTCTGAGCAAGGGTGGGCTCACGCTAAATCCCAAGAAGTGTAGCTTCTTTCAAGAGCAGCTCACTTTCTTTGGACACGTTTTCTCGAGTGCTGGAGTACAACCAGATCCGATGAAGGTGTCGGCTCTCCAGAACGCTGCCCCACCAACAAGTGCCAATGAAGTCCGGAGTCTCCTAGGGATGTTCAACTACTGCGGACGTTTCTTACCCAATCTCGCAAACCTGACTCAACCGTTGCGCCAGCTGACCATCAAAGGAACTCCATGAACTTGGACCAGCGTTGAACAAAGAGCATTCGACGAGCTCAAAGGCATGCTCTCTAACTCTACTACTCTAGCCTATTTCGACCCCGAGAAGAGCACAGATCTCATCGTTGATGCTGCACCAGATGGTCTCGGTGCAATTCTCGCCCAGCCCTCCGCAGCTGGAACTAAGGTGGCTGCCTACGGAAGCCGAGCCTTGACGGCTGTGGAAACGCGGTACTCTCAGATAGAACGAGAGATGTTGGCTGTGGTCTGGGGTATCGAGTACTTCCAGATCTACTTGTTCGGCACCAACTTTCGAGTGCTCACCGACCACAAACCGCTCGTCAACATCCTGTCTAACCTACGTTCTTCTCCGTCAGCGAGGATCCAACGTCTGGCACTTCGACTTCAGCCATACAGCTTCGACGTCGCACACACCAAGGGGTCAACTAATCCCAGCGATTACTTGTCTCGACATCCACCGCAGACCCCTTCAGACAAGAAAGACAAGCTTCGCACCCTTGTAAAGATGTCAGAAGACTACGTGGTCTGCATAATACAGCACAGCTTGCCATGCGCCATGACCTTGGAAAATGTCTTAAAGGAAACCAAGGCTGACCAAGGTGACCAAAGCCTTGCAACTGCCGCAACTCGACAAAAATGTCTGGAAGGATGAACTTCTCCGTCCATTCTCCCGAGTAATGAGTGAACTCAGCGTGTCCAGAGAAGGACTGGTCCTGCGAGGGACGCGGATCGTGATACCTACCAACCTACAGCACAAGGCAGTCCACCTCGCACACAAGGGGCACCAAGGAATCGTCAAAACGAAGCAACTGCTGCGAAGCAAAGTCTGGTTCCCTGGGATAGACAAGCTTGTGGACAGTATTGTGAAGAGCTGCATTGCCTGCCAGGCGGCAACACCTGAACACCACCGCGATCCACTGCCTGCGTCCAAACTACCGGAGTGTCCTTGGACTGAGTTGTCTCTAGACTTCGCTGGCCCATTTCCTGATGGCAAGTATGCCATGGTCCTCATTGACGACCACTCAAAAATACCCAGTAGCAAGCATTCTGCGAACACTTGCCGCACCAGTTGTCATCAGCAAACTACGTACCATTTTCGCCCAGTTCGGCATTCCAACGGTGCTGAAGACTGACAATGGTCCTCCATTTCACAGCGGAGACTTCTCAAGATTCGCTGAAGAATTCGCATTCAAACACCACCGTGTCACGCCACTTTGGCCCGAGGCAAACGGTGAGGTAGAGAGATTTATGAGAACGCTCAACAAGCTAGTCTTGACAAGCAGAATTGGAGGCAAGGACTGGACGGAAGAGCTACAATCCTTCTTGCTAGCCTACCGCTCCACCCCACATGGCTCTACAGGAACTTCACCGTTCGAGCTCCTCTTCAAGCGCACAGTGCGTAACCTACTTCCGGTAATCCCCGACCCAGACAACAGTAGCCCTACTCACATCAACTCACAAAGAAACGACAAATCCAGGAAAAGATACAACAAAGAATATGCTGATGCACGGCGACATACTCAGCATCACAAGTTTGTTCCTGGTAATCTTGTAATCTGTAGACAGGAGAGGCGTAACAAGTTCACCCCTTTCTACGACCCCAAGCCCTACACAGTCATTGAGGTCCATGGATCTCGCGTCAAGGCCTCTCGCAATGGGAAAGTCATAACGCGAAACGCTGCCTTCTTCAAGGATGCATCGCAAGTAACCATCACGCCTGGACGAGAAGAATTGGACATCGAAGATCCAGGGCCCCCTCCATCAAACCCTGGCAGTCGCATCTCCTTAGACCATCGCTTATCTCTGGCCCCATCTGCACCGCCAGTGACCCAACCAAACAGTGCGGGGGCCGTTATCCGACAAGAGTTCGTCGTGCTCCACGTCATCTTTCGGACTTTGCAGTGTAGAAAACTTTTCTAACGAAATATTGATAAGGAAGTTTTTTTTTCAAAGAAACATTGCAAGTTAACGAACGTATCAGAAGAAGAAGAAGAAACTTAGGTGCTTAATGGCACAGCGGCAACTAAGGCCATAGTGTGCCAAGCACAAGGTAAGTTAAAGGCAATACTCAAAAGACCTATAGTAGGTAGTTCGATCTTAAAACTATGGAAAATGAATGATTAAAACCTTACAAGATGCAGGCCTATTAAGGCCTCCAGAAATTTCATACAATGCTCCACTAACCAGAGGCACTCTAAAGGAATTTCATTCACGCAAGGAAGTATGGAAGATGAGCTGACGATACAAGATCGCCGGCTCTCTGCCACCACTAATCTTCAGGCAAACGTAATAGAAAAGAAAACAAACTAAAATTCATAGCCGATGTAAGATGTCAATGCTATCTAAAAACTTAAAAACTTGACGGTGCGGCACAAGAGGTTCGTCACCCAATAATAATGCCGGGTGGAGCGGGACGCGATTCCGGAAAAAGGTAGAGAAAAAAGTGGTGCGTTCGTGATGGTACTTAGGACATACGATAAGAATATGCAAGACACTCAAAGACTCGTTACAGTGTTCACATTTCGGAGCTGCCCCTGCCCGTAGGAGGTACCATGCGTGAGATGGGTGTGTCCCAGTCTCAGACGACAGAGCACAACCTCAAAAAAGCGCTCCCTGTGTCGGCAACGTGCCCATTCCCGCAGGGTAGGTTTCACACAATGAAGCTTGTTGTGTATTTCCGTGTCCCATTCTAACTGCCACTTTTTCTGGATTGCTCTTTTAAGACAGTGTTTGTAATCAGTGTACGGAATGCACTTGATATCCACTTGTCTCTCGATGCACGTACTGGCAGCTCTATCAGCATCCTCATTTCCCTGAATACCGACGTGACTAGGCACCCAACAGAAATTGATGTGTAAATCTGATTTTGCTGCAGTGTGCACAATGTTCCGGAGCCTAGTAACCAAGGTATTCTTTGGTACATTCAAAGAAGCAAGTGCCTTTAAAGTGCTGAGAGAGTCTGAGTAGATAACAGAATGCTGGATAGCGTTTTCTATTATGAATTCAACAGCTAAAATTAAAGCATATAATTCTGCAGTATATATTGAGGCTCTGGCATCAAGACGCCTAACAACCTTCCATGTCTCGCTTTTAACAGCACAACCAACAGCAGAGCCACTCTTAGTACCATCTGTGAAGAAACTCCTACAGTCACTGTACGTATAAGCAACCTGGGAAAACTCCTGCTGCAGGGCAGCAACAGGAGTTTGCCGCTTATTATATTTGATCAGAGTAAAATTGATTATGGGTGCTACGCACTCCCAAGGAGCCACTGCCAGTGGAAGTTGGGCAACAAGGCTGAAACTGTCAAGGTTGTAAGCCTGTGAATATGTTTTAAGTCTCTGCGTAAAAGGGGGTACGACAGATGGCTTGTTCTGGAATGTAGTTTCATAGCGAGAATCCTGAATTGCTTCCTGGATCGGATGAGAAGGGACAGAGCGAATTTTTAATGCATACTGGAAGCCTAAATAAAACCGTCTTTTTTCAAGTGAATATTCATTACTCTCAGCATATAGGCTAGGAATAGGGGACGTCCGAAAAGCACCAGTGGAAAGCCTCAGACCTTGATGGTGGATCGGGTCCAACACCTGAAGGGTAGATTGACGTGCGGATCCATACACTACACATCCATAATCCAATTTTGAAAGAACCAAGCAGCGATAGAGACGAAGGAGGCATTCCTGATCGCTACCCCAAGACTTGTGTGAAAGCACCTTTAGGAGGTTCATTGACCTTGAGCATTTCTGTTTCAGGTAAAGTACATGACTACGGAAATTCAACTTTTTATCAAATATCACTCCTAGAAACTTGTGTTCATTACGAACAGGAATTGCTTGCCCCCTTAAGGTCAGACTAGGCTCTAGGATCATGCCCCTACGTAATGAAAAGTTGACACATACTGAACTATTTTGTCGTTTACCCTGAGACTGGGTTTTTTTTTTTTGTTTTTTTTTTTTTTGAAGAGCAGGAGTAACAGAAAAAACAGACAGGTCTCAAACTCAGCTACAAGTTTATTTCAACAACCTCCTCTTATATAGTTCTTTCTCGTCGTCATCAACCAATCACATACGACTTTTCCTCTGCACCGTGACTTTACAGGTTCCACTCTATCACAAAAGAAGCGGACACTCCCAACGTTTCCAAGTGAAAAGGTTCTAGCAGAAGATATGCCTCACAAAGACTTCAAGCAACTCTTTTGTGTCCTCAACAGTTTGAGACCTGTCTGTTTTTTATGTTACTCCTGCTCTTAAAAAAAAACTCAGTAAAAAAATCTTGTTCTCACTGTGTTGGTAACGCTTTCGACGTTCAAACCAAACGTCTACTGTCAGCGGGTTGTAGTTTGGATTTTATCGTTTCTAGTGCACGTAGACTGCTTGTACGCGCGTCGGTGACCGCTGAGAGGGTTCAAGGTAGAACCTTTGCAGTAATTCGTTATTTTCATGGTTTTTCTCATAGCCTAAAAGCCTTGGGTGCGAAGTTTAACGTTAATGTAGTTTTTAGGACGGACTTCCGTTTAGACAGGCTTACTCTGTTTTCCTTCAGACGTGGGGGATGTTGCGGGAAAAAACACAGAGATCCCTCAGTCTCCTGTGTCACAGAGGTAGTCTATAAGATCCCCTTTGACTGTGGATTGTGTTATGTTGGTCAGACGGGGCGTTGTTTGAATGACCGACTTGTGGAGCATAAAAGGTGTGTAAAGAATTTGGCGCAGAATTCTGAATTGGTTAAAGGACCGGTGCAACGATATTCATTTGGAATGTTTTTCACTTGACACGAGCTTACTGGCACAGCTGGGACTCAAGGATACTCACACGCAACGCCACTGGCCAAGAAACTCCTTTGTTGCGGTGTAATTTCAAGGACGAAAGCGATCCTTTTCATTCAATCTCTCCTTTGCAAAATTTGATGACGTAACGTGGGGATCGCAGTACACCCAAGTGACGATATTTGAATGCGGTTCATAGATTGGACCCGAGCATTGCGTGGGCACTCGACTTGGGCTCGTGATAATTGCTAGCTCGAGTAGCATTCGGGTAGTGACCCGTGTCCAATCGCTGCAACGACGACAACAGCCGAGCCATAACAATGTCTGGAACGCAGCACGTGTCCTGCGCTTTGCCAACCTCAGCGCGTGGCTATGATCAACACTGGCGGCATATAATCGGCTCCAGATCACGTGGCCGCTTGTTCTGGCTGTGAGTTGAGGGGGTGAACGCTGCTCGTTTTTCTTCAATTTTTTTCTGGGACTTCTATTGCGTGGGGTGAAAAACGAACGCGTGTTTCATAGGTCATTAACATTAGGGATTCGTTTTAAGCGGTATTTGCGCAAAATACAAAAATTGTTGCATCGCTCCTTTAATCATGTTCTTGTAATTTTTGTTCCCCTCTTTGGGAAAAAACTTCTGTGTTGTGTAACGAAAAAGAATTGTTTAGAAGGCTAATTAAGGAGACTTTATGCATTCGCGAGCGGGGGAATTGTGTCAGCCAGCCGTCCTTGGTGATCACTGATCGAATTATGAAAGGAGGTTTGTAAACCTTGAAAAAAAAAAGGGGGGGGGGGGAGAGGGGGACCGCGAAGCGTTTGCTTCGAGTAAGAAATTTGGGGATGAGCCTTTAGCGGTTTGGAGGTCACCATGCGTGGTGACCGTGGGTTGTTGTTGTTCAAGTGGTCGGCTCCCTTTCCGAAGGTTGCTGGAGCCGTCTTGTTAGGCCGTCTGGGGTGAACGCGTTGGCCGTCTTGTTTTTGCTTTTTGAGTTTTTTTGCCCTTTCTCTTTTCCTTTTGTGTAAAAGTCTATTTATTGGTATGCTCCTATCAATAAAACTTCAGCTGCGTTTGAGATTTTGTTGTGTTCGTCCGTTTTTTTTTATCCTTCCCCATCTCAGGGTTTACAAGATGTCGATTGATTACCAGCTCGCCTGCACTCTCTCACTGCTTACAATTCTACTACCTGAAGCAGGTTTCGTCTTCCCTTCTCCTTCTTTTGTGTCAAACCTTCCACCACCTTCTCAACGAGCCTTGGCGTTTTTAACGCTGTGCAAGATCGGTCAGCGACTGAGTGACCTCCAGACGGATGTGAGCTACTTTGGGCTCTGCCTAAGGAAGAGGTTTGTGGATATCAGCCTTTTCGGCTATCTCACTCAGCGGAATCTCCCTTGGCGGCACCAGAAGAGGATCCTAAGGCCTCTCGGAATGTGGCAGATCAGCAACTTCGTGAGCTCTTTGAGCTCGCTGATGTGTTGTGGAAAGGTGAGTTGGGTGAGGGGTTCCGCAGTTCCGTGGAGTTCGACGGTTGGAGCTCTCTTCGGCTTGCAAGCTTTCGTTTCTCGTGGGCCGTCAAGAAAAGAGAGGTCCTGAAGAAACAAGACTCGACGAGGAAAAGGTCAGCTTTATCGGCTTCTGTGGAACGTTTTTTCAACCCTGAAAGTGTTGTACTGTCTCAGAATTCTCAAGCAATTTTAAATGAAGGTCCAAAGTTTTGCCTGGATGTGAAACCGTCACGGTTTGATTTGTGCTCGAATGTGCATGCTATTGGTACCAAACTTCCTACGCCAGAGGATAGAACGACTTTTGGAAATCAATCCTTGAGCAAGCTGAGCGTTCGGGTAGATTCGTCCTTCCCGGTTGAGCAAAGAAATTTCAGGAGTGTCGGCTTTGAAAAGGGAGTTGAAAGATAACTCCTTGACCCTGCTCCAGACTGACAAGAGTGGCTTGTTTGCGGTGCTCTCGGATGGTACCGTAAAACTCTTTATTTTCGCGGCCCCTATTTTTCGCGAATCGGTCACACATGACATAATCGCAACCACTAAATTTCGCGAATTCCAGACGCCTGCATTGAAAACCTTAAGGACCGAAATTTTCACGCGCCCCTAAATTTCGCGAATTCTTCAATTCGCGAAATTCGGGAAAATTGAGGGCTCG